AAAATACATATCCAAGAGTCAAAATTGATAAAAAAAAATCAATGATTTAATAAGTTAATAAATAGGGAGCAGAGACAAATCTCCCTTGCAGAATTCCAAATAATTTATGTAGGTACTTTGCTCTCAAGGAGGTAGAGCATAACCCCCCGCAAACTCCTTTACTGTGGCTGTACAGAGTGACTTCCTTTCAGAGAACATATATGTAAAAGGAGAAGGAAGAGCAACTTTACAAAGTGTAAAACTAGACAAACAGGTGATCCAGGTTAACATGAACAGTGATAAATCATGTTGAGAGCGTGTATGGCACTTTACCCTTTGAGGTTTTCCTCCAAAAAAATACATAACCCCTTGGGCTGGGTGCAGTGGCTCAGGCCTGCAATCCCAGCACTTTGGCAGAAGGATCGCTTGAGGCCAGGAATTCAAGACCAGCCTGGGTAGCAAGATCCTGTCTCTACAAAAAAAGAAAAAAAATTAGCCAGGCATGGTGGCGAGCACTTGTAGTCCTAGCTACTCAGGAGGCTGAGGCAGGAGGATCACTTGAGCCAAGGAGTTTGAGGCTGCAGTGAGCTGTGATTGCACCACTGCACTCTAAACCCAGGCAACAGAGCAAGACCCTGTGTCCAAAAGAAAAAAACAAAACAAAACCCAAAACACCCCATGTAGCCTGTAGCCCCAGTCTAATTACAAGAAAAGCATCAGATAAATTCCAGTTCAGGGGCATCTTGTAACTACTCTTCAAAACTATTAAGGCCATCGCAAACACAAGGGATCTGAGAAACTGCCACGGCTAAGAGGAGCCCAAGGAGACAAGGTAACTGCTTATTTGTCAACAAAAATGTTTGACAACATAAATGTAACACGGTGCCCTGGATGGGATCCTGGAACACTAAAGACATTAGGTAAAACTAAGACAATCTGAATAAACTATGGACTCTAGTTAATACTACTGGATCAATACTGATGAATTATAACAAACGTACCATCCTAACGTAATAGGGGAAATTGGGCGGTATAAGGTAACTCTATGTACTATCTTCCCAACTTTTCTGTAACTCTAAAACTATTCTAAAAAATAAAGTCTATTACTTAGGGGAAAAGAAAGATTCTCCCTGAAGTTTGTGAAACCCTGATTTGCAGGTCACGAAGCAGGTTATAGGGAAACGTCTCCTCCCTCCACGGCCCCGCCAGGCCCTCCAGGGCAGATCTACCAAACTAAGTCAGGGCAGCTCTTCAAAGGAGGGGTCAAGGTTGCTGCGGCTCAACTCCCAACCAGCACTGGAAGGCCGGGGCCGGGCCGGGCCACGGCTGCCAGGTACTGCAAGTTCTCATCTGCCTTTAGTTTCCACTGGGGTGAGCTACCAGAGGAGGTGACGTTCTGAAAGGAGACTTGTCCCAAGACCACCATCCGCACAATCGTTCTGCTGGGTTGCTTCGGGTCTGGCTCTGTGCCTTAGCATGAGCCCTGGGCTCACTGCGCCTGCATTTGCTCATCTGTTCATGGGCTGGGAATAGGAAGTCCTTGCCTTTCAGTGTTGCCCTCACAATCTGACAAGTTCGTCAACTTCGGCAAGAGTTTACTTCGCACTTCCTGGCACACGGGAGGTAGTTAACGTTAGCTCTCAGCATCCCCTGACCCGATTCCTCCAACAGTCTCCAGTTAGAAGAGCCCAAGTGCTTTTCATTCCTTTAAGAAATGGTGTGGTTGCTGCATAAATCAATCACCTGAAGAACGCCAATAATCTCGGGGGAGAACTAGTTCAGATTTGCTATTGACCCACTGTCAGTATTTGCACTTAAATGATACAATTGTGTTCTTCAAATTCACCCCTGAATTGACTCCATATGTGAAGAAGGTTATTCATTATACTTACAGCAAACTATTTGTAATAGCAAGAGATTGGAAACAACCTGAATTTCCTTCAAAAGGAACTGGATGTTAGACTGTTAATATTCATAAGCGTTTATATGTGTGTACTACATGTTCCTCTGCTTTATGTTGGTATGTATTTATATGTGTGTGTGTGTACACACCCTTTGGAAGGATTACACAAGAGAGTAGTGACATTGGTGGCCTGTGGGGAGGGACTGGGGAGTAAAAGACATGGGAAGACACTTCACTGTAGAGCCTTTTGTATCTTTCGCATTCTGAAGCACGTGAATGTATTCGTTATGCCCAAAGATGCTTAATATAAGCAGGGAAAAAAATGATCCACCCCTGTGGGTCATAGCTGTGGGGGCTGGTTTGGCAGAACTGCCAAGGCACAGGGGTGGGACACGGTGACTCTGGAGTGGCACGGGCTCTGCTCACGGGGCATGACTCCGAAGGCCTGCAGCAGCCCAGACCACACATGCGTCCCAGGACAAGCTGATGGGGTGATGGGAACATGCACACACAGACAACTCCAGAGAGTCCAAAACCACTGTCCAAAGGGGCTACGTTTCAAATCTGCAACCGAGGCAGCACAGGGTCGGGGTTAAGGGGCGACGGTCCGGGAGTCAGCTCCCTGACGTCAAACCCAGTCCTGCCACATGCCAGCCGGGTGAGGCGTCAGCAGTTCACTCCACTCTCGGTGCCTCTGTAAAGAGCAACAGTGACAGAACTTACCTGGCACACGTGAGCCTTAGGTGGTAAGCGAGCTATACATATTTCTATATTAAATATCATTGCAGTTCCTATTACACAGCAAGAAATTAACATGGACTCTTAAATTTAGTAACTGGAACTCTTCCAGCTAACCCCAGCAGTTGTTAAAATTACTCTTGAAGTGGAACCAGAGGAAATTACTAGGAAAACAAAAAAGGCTGACGCTCGGCAGGGGAAGTGCACGTGTGTGAGCTCCCCCTGGTGGCAACGACACGAAAGGCAGCCCCCGGAATCTGACATCACCAGCATTTGCCATCCTTTGAAAGGTCAACCAGTCTTAGGAGGGTCTAGCCTCGGCCTGCACAGGGAGAGGGGTCTACACTGCTCTCTACTGCTGTCCCTCATCCTGGCGTCTGGCCTGTCACACCCCGTGCCTGGTGCCTGGGACACTGCCTGACACACAGTGGGCTCTAATATGACATAACCGGAAAACTAAAAATAAACGATGATCAGTTTGGGAAGATGAAGACGTTCTAGAGGTGGAGGGTGGGGATGGGTACACAACAATGTGAGTGAACTCAATGCTACTGAACGGTGCAGTTAAAAATGGTTAGAACGGTAAATTTCACATTATGTGTATTTCCCACAATGAAAGTAAATAAACAAATGGCTGAGGTGCAATCTCCTCTCACCTGCTCTCTCAATTCTCCCTGACCACGCCTGGGCTGTCTCCCTTACCAGACCCTGTTCACTAAATATCAAAAGCGCCCCCTTGCGGGTCCTCTCCAATCTCCGTGCTCCCTTTCCAGCTGGAAGCACCAGGCCCCTGGCTTTGATGCCAGCTGCACCCTGAGCACTGCCCGCAGCTGTGGACCTCCAGCCCCGGTGGCCCCCTGAGCCCCAGCGGCCTGCCCAACTTCTCCACCTGGAGCCCTCACGGGCACCCCAAGACGGTCAAGTCAGAGCACCCCCTCCTCGACCTGCTCCTCCCTCCCATTTCCCATCTCTGCCAACGGCCCTTCCCCCAGATGCTCAGGTCTAAAATCTCAGCAGGCCCTGTGATTCCCATCTTCCCCTGGCCCCAACTTCCAATCCGCCGGCACGTCCTGCTGCTTTTCCTCCAAAGCACACCCTACGCCCGCCCCTCTTCTCTGCTCCCCATCGCCACCACCTCGCTCCAAACCATCTTCGTTTCCTGCCTGGACCACTGCAGTGGCTGCCGCCCCTGCCCTCCCAACAACGCATTTTCCTCCCAACAGCCACAACCGTCATCCTAGCGGGCAGCTCTGATCATCACGTCCCTGCTTCGAACCCTCCAAAACAACTCAGTGCTCTCAGGCTACTGTCCACATTCCTCATCCTGGGTCACAAGGCCCCAAGTCACCTGGTTCCTGTGCACCCTCCTTCACCTCATGCTGGATGGAGCTCCGTCACTCGCCAGCCACACCAGCCTTCCTTGTGTTCCTCGTCCCACTGCCTGAACGCTGGCCTCCTGTCCAGCCACAACCTTCTCGTTCCCAGCTCAGCCTACACGTCACCGCCTCTGAAAGGCCTTTCTGTCCCCAGCACCTGAAGCGGCCCTGGCCACTGTCTCCCGTGCCCCGATTCTTTGGCCAGCACAATCCCTGTACCTCCGTCTCCCTCACTGGAGGGGCCAGCCACGCAGGCAGGGCCCTGGTCTGCCCCGCTCACCGCGGGCTCCCCAGCTCCTAGGACAGACCCGCACCGAGGAGCCGTGCAGCGGTGAGGGGGTAGGTGAGGCAGTCAATACAAACTCACGGCCTCACGAATGGAGCCCACAGTTTAGAAAGCTGCCATCAGGCCAGAGTGGCAGGAACAAGTGACATCTATGGAGGGGACGGGGGCAGAGGGACAGAACCACTGCAGCTTGTGGCGGGGAGAAGGCAACCTAACTGAATGGTCACCGTGACCATTACTGCCCTCATCTCGGGGCCTGCAGCACAGATGTGGCCCGCGTGTGTGCAGGGAGCTTGACCTTCGGAGGGAGAGCCCACCCCCGACCAGCGCCCCCACCCACGTCGTGCTTCGTGTGAAACTAGTCCTGCAACTCGCCCTGAAGGAGGGGAGGGAAACAGTTTGAAAGTCACAAAAATATATTAAAACAGCCGTTGTCTTCACTCTGAGCACTGGCTTCCCTTCCCAGTGCCCTCTGCCCCCCACCCGCCGCCGACTTTCAGAGAAAAAGATGTCCAGTGCGGGCAAAGAGAGGCGCCCGGCTGCAGCCCCGGGTCTGGGGAGGCCCGTCCAGCCTGGGAGTGGAGGGCGCCTAACAGTCTCTACAGGCTCGACGCCACCGTCGACGAGGGGGCCGCTGGGACGCCAGAGGTGCAGGAGGGTCAGGCAGGACACAGCGGACAGTCGGGCCTTGCCACCGGGACAGAAAACAGAAGAGAAATGAACAGAGTGAAGATGGGGGCGGGGGAGAGGTTAAAGCAACGGCGGGAGGCACAGAGGAGTGAGGGAAGTCGTGGGGTAGCAGGGTAAGGGAGCCCTGCAAGGTGACACCCACTCTGTGGGTGACAGGGGCACGGGGAGGCTGAGGAGCTGGGGTTTGGGGGAGCAGACGCCGCTGAGGGAGGAAGGGGAAATGTAGGAGAGAAGAGAGCACTTGGCACTGGGGAGAGGTAGAAACGTGGGTTCTGCCAAGGCCACGGAGAGGAGAAAACAGAGGACGTGAGAGAAGGAGAGTCCCAGAGCGGGCGAGGCCAGGCCACAACCATGCCAGACTAGGGAACACGGCTGAGTCCCCAGAACGCTCCGGCCCAGCTTGAATGCCTGAGGAGACAGCAGTGTCATCCAGGAGCTGGTGGGGCGGGGGAGATGGAACCAGGAGCCTGGAGAGGGGGTGGGACAGGCACCTGCAGGTTCTGCCGCCTGCACCCCGCCCCACACATGGGCTAGAAGGTTCTGCGGCCCAGTCTTTTGAACACACTCACAGTGCCCGTGTGGTCCATCTGGGCACCAAGGCCCTCGCTGGAGCTGCTCCCCCGGGGCCCCACCAGAGTCCTCTGAATGGTGACCTTGACCTCGGCTGAGGACTTACTCTTAGTGCTCGTGACCTGGCTGTCCTGGGCCTCGGGCACAAGGGCGGCCTTGCCCAGTCTCTGGATGATGCTGACTTTGGACAGGGACTCCGGTTTCCTCTCAAGCCCAGGGCGCGAGGAAAGCGCCAGGCGCCGTGGTGTCGGGGCGGTGGCCGTCGTTGCCGAGCTTGTGGCCTTGGCTTTGACAGTCAGTGCCGGCTGGGGACTGGCCTTGGCTGGGGCCCGTCCTAGCTTCTTCAGGACCCCAGCATACTGCAAGACAGAGCTGCTGCTGTCATTGTCACTGTCCCAAGCCAGATCCTCATCCATCTCTGGGGTGGCCCCCAGGCGACTAAAGACTCCTGTGGGCTGCAAAAGTCAGAGACAGGACAAAGAAGTCATTTAGTCACTCAATACACATTCACGAAGAGCTGCCTCCTCTGTGCCTGGCCCCCTGGGACTCACAGGCGGCAGAAGCACCCATCAGTGACACCCTAGACAGTGGTGAGAGCCATGACGGGGAAAGTCCAAGGGGCCGGGAAGCCACAAGGAAGCACCTAACCTTGCCTGGACATTCAGGGACGCCTCCCTGAGAGAGGGGACATCTGAGCTGATGCCTGAAAGTGGAATGGAAGTGGGTCTGACACAGAAGGCAGAGAAGGGGCGTCCATGCAGAGGGACGACCACGTGCAAGGTCTGCGGGGGGATGAATGGGAAGATTAATTTGGTGCATTCACTTGACAAGTATTTCCTGAGTCCCAACTCTGTACCAGGCCCTCAGCTGGGCAGTGCTGGGGACGCAGTGAGGACCAAGACAGCCCCAGCCCCGCCCTCACGGGGCTCAGAGTCCAGTCGGGGAGACAGAATCGGCATCAGAAACGACACGATTCCATAAGAATGACAGTGATGCAGTCTGTGAAGGACAGCAGAGTGCCGGAGGGCAGGGGACAAGGACGGTTCTTCTCCTCTTGGAGTCCAGAGGACTTTCTCTGAGGCACCAACTTTGAAGCCAGGCCCTCCAGGAAGAATGGGCAGAGGGGAGAGCATATGCTAAGTCCCTGAGGCAGGAAGAGTCATCCTGTGCATTGAGCACTCGCTGTGTGCCAAGCTCTTTACGTGGCCGAGTCTTCAAGGCACATGATCCTGCGTGTTATTATCATATTTATGCTAAGATTCTAGAAAGGGGGAAAAAGCCAGAGTGGTTGTGCCCTGGCAAGCGAGGGCCTGAGAGGCGCGAAACACAGCTGGGGAGTTCGCGTTTAAAGCGTGTTTACCACGTGCCGGACGGCCCGGCACCCGGCAGGTGTCATCTCACTTATCCTGGGTGCTGCGCAGATGAGGAAGCTGAGGCACAAAGGGCTTAAGTGGCATGGCCAAGGCCACGCGGCCAGGCCCCAGCGGACTTCAGGGTGTGTTCCTAACCACATGCAGGAGTGCAGGCCACGGCAAGAGGGGTGGGCTTCGTCGTGAGCACAGTGAAAAGCCTCTGAAGGGCTTCGAGCAAGGGAACAGGACAGGCCCTGCCTCTGAGCAGCACGTGCTGTTGCTGTGGGGACAGGGGACGGGAGGGGGTTAATGGCAACTGTGCAAGACCAGTTAGCAGCTGTCGCCCTGTCCAGACAGGGAGAGGTGGCAGGGGAGGTGGAGACAGATGGGGTCATGAGATCGGTGACCGACTGGGACGGAGACGGTGGGCAGCCCTGACATGGGGGCCCAGGAGAGGACCTGCTTTGGGGGAAGATGCTGAGGCCAGTCTGGGCCATGGTGGGTGGGAGGCGTCCAGGAGTCTGCCGGATCCCTGCGGCTGGAAATGGGGAGAGAAGATAGGGCAGAAGACAGCAGGGAAGGCAGCCAGTGCAAAGAAGGGCGCTGAGGCTGGAAAGGTGGCTGAGATGGGCCACGAGAGGGGTGAGATGGGATGTGGCAGGAACAACACCCAGGGAACACAAGAATTTGCGAGCCCAGAGCCGCTCCCCCATTCCCAACTCACTTTATTCCCTGTCGTCGTGTCTGCCTTGGTCTCCGCGCCGAGACGGTCAAACACGGATGTCCTGTGGAGACCTGGAAGGGAAGTGAGGCCGTCAGGCAGCACCTGCGGAGCGGCCCCTGTGGGCCAGGCCCAGGCTGAGCACTGGACAGACACCACGGGCGACGACACTGCCAGCCCAGACACCAGCCAGCTCCGGGACAGGCAGGGACAGACTGTGCCGAGTCAGGTTTGTGACTATGCTGTCGGCTCACGTTGACCTGAGCCTGCCCGCAGATGGCTGGAGTCGGATGCGGGAAGAGTCAGCTAACACTGACCCGCACAGCCCTCGTGCCGCAGCACAAGCTCGTGAAACGTGTGCGTGGGAGGAGTCTCGATCCCTACTCGTCCCTTGCACTTCTTGGGGTCATGGCGTCCGAGAGAATCTGATGAATGGTAGCGAGTCCTCTCCCTAAACTGTAACCTAAATGTCTACCAACTGGAGAATGTTTCCTAAATTATGTTATAGAAATACTACGGAAATGGGCC